AAAAAAAAAAAAAAATTAAAAAAATAAATAAATAAAAAGTAGAAGCTTGTGCTCAAAGCACACTATTCTTTTCTTTATCCTCTCTATGTCCCTTTCTCTTTCTCTCTCTCCTCAAAATATTTTCAATGTTTTTTCAAATGAAGCAAAGTATTATTGGTTTCCCCTCTAAGTATTCTTAACATTGCTTGGCTTGCAATTAAGAACCTTGACATTCTTTTGCCAATGTCTTCATTCAATTTTTAAATTTGTGTATATGAATATATATACATATATACATATGTTTTTCTTCATTCATTTATTTGCTAAAATAGCCCCTTAAAGTTTGGAATCCTCTGCTTACTTCCAATTCTTGATCAAGAATTTTTGTTTGAAGGCCTTTGAGTTTATCATTATTTTGATTTTGATCCCTTTTCTTATGTTCTGTCATATCCTATATGAGTTCTCCTTGTGAGATTTCATGTCATAGTTCCTTTGAATGCTCACATTTCTTGCAAAGTTGCAATCTTTGCATTGAGCTTTCATTTTTACTTAATTTTACCTAATTCTTCGATACATTTTTTTGTTTTTCGGAAGAAGCTCTTCGAGCCCAAGAGAAGTTTTTTTATTTTGGAGAGCTCAAAAAGAAGAAAAAGAAGCATAGGAAAAAAAAAAAGAATGAGTTTTTTAACATTTATAACCGGCTCGACAAGATCGTGGCAACCGGCTTTAACAGTCGACACGACAAATGCATCGTATTGGCTGAATTGGAGAGTTTTGTTATGCTCGATATGGATTCTAATGTCGATGGTTTTCGCATCATTGCTAATATCGAAACACGAGTATCGTCAAAGTTCGAACGAACGGAGCTTGGAGAGTCAACAGCAAGAAAAAGAACCGGCCGGAGTTTTGTACGAGGATGAAGTTTGGAGACCTTGTCTGAAGAGCATTCATCCTGTTTGGCTGCTCGGTTATCGAGTTTTCGCATTCGTCGTGCTCTCGTTGATGCTTATTTTGAACGTTGTTGTCGATGGAGGGGCCATTTTTTACTTCTATACACAGTAAGTCATCTTAAGTTGCTTTCTTTTTCTTTTTCTTTTTTTTTTTCTCTTAAAGTTTGATTTTTTGGTTTATATGTGTAAGAACTTCAATGTTCTGTCCTGTTCTGTTATTCCCTGAGTTTTGGAGTAATTATGACTAGTTGGAGAAATTTCGAAATTACGTAATGGTGCTCAAAGTTTTATTTTGTTTGTACTTTGCCCCAACTATTACTTGGCCCGAGGGAATTTGTGGGTTTCGAGTTTCGACTTCTCGTCGACTTTTGTTTGACGGTTTTGAGATTTTGGAGAAGTTGAGAGTTGTAACTATGAAATTGAACACTTGTAAAAGCATTTTACCCGACATATCTTGACTCGGTTTCATTTTTTTCAGGTGGACTTTTACGCTTATCACAATCTACTTCGCAGTAAGTACATTACCATGTTCTTTTCTTACTTTTATTAGTGATAAAGGGGCGCGATTTTAGTTTTCGAAATGAACCATTTTTTTTTTGGTTTTGGTAATTATGCTAAACTTATGGGGTGTTTTTTTTTTTTGGTAACAAATCCTTATTTATTTTCATGTATGTTATGACACTAAATCTTATTATTTGTAGCTTGGGTCCTTGCTGTCAATGTGGGGTTGCTATCGATACAATAAGAATGGTGCTGGTATGCAATTTGATGCCGAAAATGGATCTTCTTCGACAACTCAGAACATAAATGTGGTGAATTTTGCAAAAGGAGTCGAACTCAATCAAGAAAATGTGGTTCGCAAAAAAGCCGGGTGTTTGGCTTATACCTTTCAAATCATTTTCCAGGTAACAAAAATGCCTAAGAACACTGCTTAAGTTCTTCATAAAGAATCTCCATTTTTTTTTCCTTTAGTTGAAATTAATATTAACGGTTCTTTGGTTTTGTTTTTTTGTTTTTCAGATGAATGCTGGAGCCGTGATGCTTACAGACACCGTTTTTTGGTTCATCCTGGTCCCGTTTCTAGTCATTAAAGCTTACAATTTGAATTTCGTAAGTATATATATAATATACCGTGTTTTTTACTCATCTGTCATCTCTATTATTTGTCCATAGAGTGGTTTTTGTTCTGTGTGTATCTGATTAATTCTGTATAAACTCTGTTTCAGTTGATTATTAACATGCACTCGATCAATGCCGTTTTTCTGCTGGGAGAAACTGCTTTAAACTCCTTGGTAAGCTAGAATTTTCGGCTTGAAAGTACAATCACGCCTCAAGTTTTTTGGTTTTTCGTTTTTTTTTTTGTCCTTCGTGATTAGGCTAAACTTGAGAATGTAGTTTCTGTAGTTCATCTCCTTAAGCATATTAAGCGATTTAACACGATTTTTTGTTGGCTCATGGCGAACTATGTGCAGAGATTTCCATGGTTCCGCATCGGCTACTTTTTTCTCTGGACCTCGACTTATGTACTCTTCCAATGGGTTGTGCATGCATGCGTTTCGATTTGGTAATTTTTTTTAAAAAAATTTTCTCATTCATTTTTTTCCAGTTTGACTAGAAATATATGTTTCAATGCTTCATTAACAATTTTTTTTTTTCTTTAAAAAACAGGTGGCCATATCCATTTCTTGATTTATCATCTTCATATGCACCACTATGGTAATTCACTGCATTTTTCTCTGTACTATCATATTTTTTCGCCTGAAATTTTTATGTTCTTAACCTTACGAATTCATTTGAGTCGACAATTTTCAATCGATAATTTGCAGGTATTCAACTGTGGCCTTGATGCATATACCATGCTATGGCATTTTTTTACTAATAATGAAGGCAAAGCATTTTTTGCTGTCAAAATGGTTC